CTGCACGGGGAGAACATGCAGACTCCACGCAGAAAGATCCCGGGTGTCCTCACCGGGATGCGAACCAGCAACCTTCTTGTTGCAAGGTAGCGGTGCTAACCACCGAGCCACCTTGCAGCCCAAGCAATTAAATTAAATTAAATTAAATTAAATTAAATTAAATTAAATTAAATTAAATTAAATTAAATTAAAAATTCTTCATCTACCTCCTTTAAGTATGGCATGTCTATTGGTTAAAACCACCCCCTTAAGTTCTGTCAAACTCCTGTGGTTAAGCCACTAAGCTTTTTGATATGTAACAGTAATACCGTCAGTAGGATATTCAGTCAAACTTTCTGCAAGTTGCGTTTGCCTTAAGTTGTTGTTTTAAAAAAATCTGTAACACTTTACACGCTGCCAACCTCATCAGCCGCAAAAAAAAGTAATTAATAGTCAGTTTGAATTATTACAAAGCGAGGAGGCTGTTGAAGAGGATGCATGCAAGTTTCAAATTAATTACCGCAAAACTTGACGAACAGCTAAGTGTGATACTGCTGAGCTTATGGTGCCACATATGATTTGTGAAAATGCAAATGCTGTGTGAACAGCTTCCTTTCCAGCGGGCTGACAGTGTTTTAAACAGGTTTCAGTGCTACTTTCAAACAGTATAACAGATGCAGCCGACACTCCACCTACACACGTTTACATTAACATTACATTAAAACAATATGGATAGTGGATTTAAAGGCATACGTTGTGAGGTAAATGTAAACAAAAGGGTCGTCAGAACACAACATTAAAACACACGCCTCACTCTCAGGTCTTTAATATATGCAGGATCCCTGAAAAACAGATTTTTATTTTTTTTTTCCTCAAACTTCTGCTTCAAATCCGTTAATCATATACGCGAACGCAGCATATGCAGTCGGGAATTATTCATTGAGCCTTAAATAATAACATTCACCATCTGAATTGATCAGTCTCAGCAGCAAGGTGGCAGGCAGGCAGGGTACACTGAGGGTAAATGGGTTAGATGAGGTGAGAAAAGGCTAGTCCATACCCTGCTGTGTGTAGCAGACCACCATGAGCTCCTCGCTGATGTCTCCACTGCGGTGCACCGGGATGAAAAGCTCCCCAACATCTTCCTCTACTGAGTGGATCTGTTCAGGGAAGAATACCGTCGACTCTGTTTGGAGGGGAAAGAGAGAAAGAGAGAGAGAGAAAGAAAAAAAAAGAGTCGAGGGAGTCAGAGAAGAAAAGAAAAGGGTAATGATATGTATAACAATCTGCAAAAATCCACAGTACATTAGGTCATCAAAGACTGATACAGGCTTTTGTTCTGGCTCTGCATTAGCGAGCTGCAGTTGACTTTTTTTTTTTTTTTTTTTTATCTACTGAAGTGGTGGTCCTGCAGCGCGCTTATTCATATTCAAAAATAACTCCCCCGTCACAGTTTTTTGAATTTGATGCAACCAGAGGTGCTCTTCAAAGAGACCCCTCCGGAAGTTTTCTTCCTGCCTCATGTGTCGCAGACAATTGCACATGCAGGCCTGTGAGTTCACCCTACTGAGCGAATCAGCTGGGAGCCTCACGCATCGACTCCAGCGTACACAAAGGGGTCAATCACCTCTCTCGTTTTCTTCTCCCTCTCTTCCTCCCCCACCTCCACTCCTCTCCCACTCTCTGACAGGAGTTTGTGATTGAGAGAGCGACTTCGAGCCAGTGAGAGCATCATCTATCAAAGCGAGAACTTACTGGCATTATAGAAACAATAAATGTTGAAGCTATTTTCAAGAGACGCACTGGGACCAATAAGAATACTAACAGAGTGGACTAAGTTTCAGCTCGTCCCAGTTCCTCTTGTGAGTTCGTTCGTCCCTTTAACAACTCGCTGAGAGAATGAATGAGTGAATAATGGGAATTGTGGGGGGGGACACTTGTGGATGCAAAAAAAACCTCAATTAAAATGGTACGTGCCGGAGCGTAAAAAAATCAGCAGAAACTGATTTATATTTGATTCAACATGCAGCGTAAAAAGAGATCAACACCTGAGATGACTCTCTGGGATGAAGTCATCAACATAAGACAATCTCGCGCACAGCGGGGGATCAAACATTTCTCTTCTCTCACGACAACTCCTGCTAAATTGTTCTTTCTCCTCTCAATCTCCTTCGCTCTCCACCATCCCGCCTTTCTGTCGCTGCCCACAATCTGCTGCTCCCCAGTGGGGAACAGCAACTCATAGCAGGAGACTCGGGTCCACTGCTTACCTATTCCGCACAAACACACACAATGCTACGCGACGATTTTCCCCCTCCCTCTCACTCTCCCCACACGGATACTACACACTCCATCGCCTCTCAGTTCTTTCACATTTCACCTCACTCTCCACTTCTTGCCTCTAAATCCACCCAAGATTTTAGAAAAAGCAAATATCCAGCCAACTGGGTCAAGTTCACCTCCTGCAGGAAAACACTCAGTCATTTTAAAACATTCATGGGCAGGCAAAAAAAAAAAAAAAACACATGCTTTTACGCAGGGTGTTAAGATAGTGGATTGTTGCACCTGATCTTGCTATTGTCTTGCCAAAAAAAAAAACAAAATAAGAAGTCTGTTTGGCTTTTATTGCTACGTCTAGAACTTCTCCATTATTGATCATTTCATGAATATTCCATGGATGCAGGAAGACGTTCTTTGTTGCTACTGTCTGGTTGTGATAGTTGCGCATTTTAATCATTAGCAGCTTGTAATGTTGGTTACACCCAAAACGTAACCGCACATGTAAAACACATCAGCCTCTGGAGACACTTGACGGAGCTATGTAACTAAAAGCACCGCGTCGTGTCACAGCTCAAAGCAGGAACAACCTCAATAGATGCGGTTTGCTTGTTTGATGCTTCCTGCATTAGTCAAGAGATTAACCTAACGGAGATAAAGCTCTTCAAATTACAAAACAATGTGCATGACTGCTATTGGCCTTGTGGTTCCAGAAATGAGAAATAAATAAATAAATAAATAAAAAACCACAAGAGAGAAAGCCGTTGTTCATCATTTAGTGGAATGACCTTGTTGCAAAATGCAGTCGAGTAAAAGCGCTACTGATATATAGTGTCCTTGCTGTACAGGAAGCAAGAAAGATATCACCAACTGTGGCAAGATGCTGCTGCTTGCAGCATACAGTCAAACAGCAGGCTGCCACCTTCATCTTTCGTCAGCACTGTGCATGGATTATATATGAAAGAAAGTCATAAAGTTTTGCAGAGGGAAAGCTTGGCTCTTACATGGAGAGACCACGGGCAAATGCGCTACAGGATAAGCCCAATCCTCAGTTAATCAAAGTGGTCGAATCAAAGGGTGGTAGAAAGTATGCATTCTCACAACTAAAAGAAACTCAAACCAATATAAAACAGCTCCAGGCGATTGTGCAGACAAACAGAGACTGTCCTTGCTGTTAGAACACACTCCACTTGTTATGCTCTCCTTAATTTTTCGAGCACTTTTAGTTAAAGCTCAGCGATCCCTTCTCCTCCCTCTAAAGCCGATATTAGCCGAACCGCCGCGTCCTCCAGAGAGGGAATCTCCAGGCTAACCAGAAGACCAGACAAAGCCAGTTTTCATCATTAGACAAAGAAGCTGGAGTACAGCTAACGCCACAGGCATAGCTAAAGCTTCACTGGCCCATTAGAGTAGAGAGTGGCACATCTCTGTCACATTAGACAGTCCCTGGAGATGATAGAAAACAAACCAGACCCTGCCCTCCACACACACACACACACCATAATTAACCCACAGGGGAGGATAGATTGAGGAGGGAAAAACGTGGCAGGGACGGGGGGGGGGGAGGAGAGACACTGAAAGACAGACAACGAGAAGACAAATGAGGGAGACGAGAGCAACTGTTGTGTGTCACTATAATCGAAGCTTCAGTGTTTCCATCTTTGTTGCGCATCTGTAATTACTTAAAAGTTGCACCGAGGAGGGGGAGGTAATGCATACAAAAAAAAAAACAAAAAAAAAAAAACCTGAATGTAAAAGCCGAAGAAGAGCAAATCTAGCCTTGATGGAGCAGAGCAGCCCCGTTTGTCGCACTACTCAATATTCCATTAACATTTCAATTTGCAGGAAAAGACACAAAGAGCTAGGAGAGCGAAAATGGCAGATTATAAACTATTTAAGGGAGAAAGTGAAAGACTGACGTTTTGTATGCGTGCGCGCTTGTGTGCATGTGTAATTAAGCTGCTTTTTCTTGTGTGTGTGTGTCATTGGGTTTCCAGAAGTAAACATCGTGTTCAGTATTTCTGGCGAGTATAAAAAAAACATTACACCCTGAATGAAAAAAAAGAAATCTGTATAGCAAACTCCTGCTGGCTATCATGTCAAAACTGCGATTCTCTTTCTTGCCTGGAGGCAGATTTGACAAGACTCTGTATCTACAGTAGGCAATGTTTATATTGACAAGTCTTCCTTCTGAGGTTGCCAAGTTGACTGATGCTTCTTGCAGTGTGATATACAGTAAAATGGAAGTGAGTTTTTTTTATTGTTTTGCTGAATACTTAAGTGGCAATTGGGATTTTGTGTGTAGTGCGTTATACAATTCGGAAACATAATTGCATCTGTAATTATATTTGTCTTTCCAGGTTGGCAAAGGAAACGCTTTTGCTTTTGATAGGCTATGTTTGAGTTTCATTTATAACAGTGGAAATTGGATTCATACTGAAATAAATGAAAAATATTTACAACAAAAATGTTCTTTATACACTTAGAAATAAAAGCTAGGATTGACTGTATTAAAACTACACTAAATGCTGCCACTTCATCCTCCGTGCCTGAGATTCCAACCTTTTACTTTTTCAAATACCTCCAATGTCAACCTTGATTTTTGATGGCAGACTCAATCCTCCTCAGCATGCAGGGTAGCATTGTTGCACAAATTTCTGGAGAGATGTTCTGCCACATTCTTCAGAGACTTTTTTTTTTTTTTTCTTTTTCCAGCTGCTCTTTGCTGGAGGGGTTGTGTTACTCTACCTTTCTCTTTAAAATAGCTCAAAGGTATTCTATTGGATTCAAGTCAGGCAACATACTTGGCCAGGTCATAGTTTTCACTTTATTCTTCTTTAGAAAGTCTTGTGTGATTTTGGCAGTGTGCTTTGGATCGTTATTATGCCGGAATATTTCTTTTTTTTGTGCCAAGCTTCTGCAGACTGAGAGCCATCTTGTCAGCCAGTATTTTTGGTGCGTCCACAGATAATCCTGGCACCATCTACAAATGTTGTCTCGCCAGCACCTTTTGCACCTGTGTACCCCTGCATCATCGCACTCCCGCCTCACCTTGCTGATCTTAGTCTCATCCGAGCAAAGAATGTGCTCTCAAAATTCATCAGGCTTCTTTTCATGTTCTTTAGAAGTTTAATCTTGTAGTTTTGTGCCAAGGAACAAGCGAAGGGATTTATTTTTATTTTTGGACGCCATTGAGGTTGATATTGTGCAATGTCCTTCGCATCATCTCAGCTGTCGCAGAAACTCCAGTGATAACCCCTGTGCCAAGTCTGAAGCAGCTGCCCATCTGTTTTTCAGAGTTCGACTATGCAAGTAGTTATGGTGTCATTTTAGAAGTAAGCCCACTGCGAGTCTGATTTAAGGTACAGTGGTTTGTTCGGTTTACCGATTACTGCTGCAACTGTGTTTCAGCCTCTTTTTTAACTAGTAATTGGATTTTTTGGTATCTTTTTCTATCTCTGTAAAGTCTTACAATCACATTTCTTGAGCATTTTTTCCCCATGTGGAGCCATGGTGCAGACATGCAGACAGACACAACCCATTGGCATCAAACAGAAAGTTCAGGTAAATTTATAGCCATGTTCATGTAGCTAATTGAGAAATCACTCTGTTTAGTTTCAGTAACGACAGGTTTTTGAGGTTTTGTGCCAGTGACAGCAAGTGTATTTGGTCTGTATTTTCAGTATAGTCTTTTCATCATAGAAACAGCAAGAGTTAGTTTGATATTTAAGGGTTTGGACAAGTTTTGGTGTGGGTTTTAAACTGGTTTTAGCCTGTTTTTAGACTACTTTTGGACTTATTTGCAACTGGTTTTGGAGTCAGTCCAAAATACCTCCGTGATGCTGAACTGATTTGCTGATTTGAGTGTTTGGTTTTGATTATTCATATAAGGAAATACTCTATTTGTCAACTTAGAATTAATGCAATCATTGAGAGGCGATACACTTTTTGAATGATTTGATATTTAAATGACGTTTCACAGTGGTGCACTCCTCTCTGTTGCATCCTGCATAATATCATTTTGTTTGCGTCGGCACAGTCAGTCAGTCAAGTTTCAAACTTTCATCAAATGTCGCCGAATAATCTGCATCTGTATTCAGTATCAATACAGAAATTCTGCCTGGGGTTTGTTCGTTTTTGTTATTGTGACATGCAGCTACACATGGTTTAGAAAATATCACGAATTGACTTCTGCATGATCAATGCTTTTGTTAACATGTGCTCAAACAGGGGATGTCCAAAGACAACTTCAGCTATGTTTTTGTAGTATTTCACCTTAGCCAATATCAGGGACTATTTGATTTATTTTGTCCAATATTGCAGATTCTAAATCAGTGATATGATTACAGATAACAGTGAAAATGTCAGGCTTTTATCGTTAAAAGTTACAAAGATGTAGTCATTCAAACATAGCTTCAAATTTCAATGTGTGGAAAAATGTGCAAAAAGCATGTCGATGGGCAATTTTCATTTTTTTTTTTTTTAAAGTAAAGTATTGGCTATATCAAACAAAAATTTCACAAATATCTCTCTAAATATTGATATTTTATGCTTGAAAAAATTCAGGGAAATCAGAGATGGTTGAGCAAGTATTGTTCTAAACTATTGATGAAATTACCCTATCTTAAAGAAATAAAGGTTGCAGCTATTAAAGGTGGGGTTAATTGCAACAACTAAAAACACTAATATCAAGCTAAATCTATAATATTAAATAATATTTATCCATTAATTATATTTTCTGTCTGCAAATGAACTAGTAAATAAAGCTGTCAGATGTGGTGGAGTGAAGTGTAAAATACTTGCCTCCAAAATGTACAAGTATTCGACACCATAAAATAGAATTATGCAAGTTAAGTACCTTTAAATCCCTTTCCACGACTGACTGTCACCATATAGCATCCGTGTGTGAGCTGAATCTAGGATATAACGCGAGCATGAGCAGTACTAACCATCATTGGGATCCAGGATCTCAACTGTTGCTGTGACGGGGAACTCCATCACGCCCATCACCGGCTCCGACAGCAAAATCTGGAAAGTCTCCGCCTGCTCATACTTCCCATCAGACAGGATCCGAACACGCCACGTAGCTCTGGTTTGTCCTGGGTTGAACTGGACCTGCCTCTGTGACTTACCCTTGAAGTCCTCCTCCTTCTTTGCACTGCCATCCTGGGTGCCAATGCCTGAGAGATACAAAAAAGGGAAAGAGAGCCAGCCAGATGAGTTAAAGAAAAAAAAAAAAAAAGCAAAGGAATGGAGACAAAACAAAGAAAATGACCATGAAAGGGTGACAGCAAGGAGAGGGAAACAGATGAAAAGCAGATTAGATATTCACACCCTTTAATGTTGTTCAGAGAGTGGTGAGAAAAAGAGTGTTGCGTCTATTTTTCTTCACTGATCACTCACAGAGCCTCAGGAATGTGTGAAATGAATTTGTGACTGAAGCGTTTAAATAAGCATATTCTTTCTTACTGAGATAGATTAGTTACCAAAGTTGTTTCCCAGGGGTTAGGTGTGCATGCACGAGTGTGTGCACATTGGAGTGTGTGTCACATCCCTTTTCTCTTCAAATGTCTCTTATTTCATTTATAATGGGTCTTTCAAGTGAATCCACTTCACAGTGATCCATCTAACATTCATGTTCAGTTGATACACCTTCAAAGGTGGAGAGCCTACTGGTACCGGTGGGGTTCACATTAAACACAAATCAAGGAACCCAGGTGGTGCAAGACATAAAATAATGTATTGCATTTGGAAATATTGCTCTTCATATTCCTTTGTCTATATTCATTCTGCCTCATGAGAGTGAGGTGAGCAGAGCCATGCCATGCTGATGCATGTGCCCGTACATAAAAAAAGGATTTGTTTTCTTTTTTTCAGAAACTCAAACGGCTGCACAAACAGAGAAAAAAAAAGAAGGTGCCAAACATATGCAAATGAGTCTGGATACATTAGGAGATACACACAGCATGATCTGAGAGGTTAGTATTGTATGCAAAATTTAGGCCAAAAATAAAACAGATGCAGAAATTCAAACATACACAGTCACACTCAGTGACTATATTCATATGCAAACTCATGATATTGTTATAATTTTGGAGGTGTGTTTTGTGTTTTGGGGTTCATTTTGTTGTCATTTGGCTTTTTTATTTGCCAAAAACACCAACAGTCTAGCAAATATAACTCTCCAGGCTCAGTGTTTTGATGAATTTTAATGAATGACAAAATAGAGAAGAACAAGCCAACTCTTAGATTGTTGATCACCTCAGCCAAACGTAACGCATCTTCTATCTCATATTTTACTTAATCTGCAGCCAGCAACACATTAAATATAAACACCCTCTTGCTTCATTTTCGTCAACAACCCCAGCATGGTGCACCACGACACTCCACCTTCACTATTTCTCTGCTTTTCCTTAACAGGAAAAGCCAAAGATGCTCTTATTACTCAGTGCAGCTGAACTAATACAACATGAAAAAATTCACCTTCTCTGGGGGCTGTTGAAAGTCTTTCTGGAAAATCTAAGACATGACTAATGGAAGCCCAGTCAGGACAAGTCTTTCTTGGTTGGCTTGTTCACTTGCTTAGTGGCCCGATCGGCTCAACCTGGGTCGTGTTTTTGGAATAACACTGACCAGATGTGGCTGGTACAAGTGTTAACAGATGAAATGTGAATTACAATGCAGTTAAAATACTAGGATTAAATCGCTGCATTGTTAGTCACAACTGGTTACATTTACCATCGAGCAATATCAGCACTGGTGTGTGCAATGGAAATGGAGAATCCTTTGGGTCTTGTGGGTTGCTGAGTGGGGCATCCATGCATTTAGTTTGCTCCGGTGCATCTTTTGGATGCACAATCAGATTGGGTTCTGGGGCATTTCCAGTCTGGGTCAATGCTTTGGGTACATGGGCTTGTTCTTTGAGTCCTTCCTGGCCAGTTTTTGACAAGGTAGATTGTCCTACTGGGTCTGGGACAATGTATAAGTGGTAAAGTAGCATCCACATCAAAAGTAGCCTCCAAAGTTTCCCAGCAGAACATTGATTTGCAATTAGATGATCAATGTTACACACTTTACCTGCCAATGGGTTTAATGTTGCAGCTGATTCGAGCATTCGCTTAAACTCAAGTTCTCTTTGTGCAGTCAAGATTAAAAGATGTTTCTACATCTGTGAGGGCCTTTATCAGATAAGATTTAAACTAACCTCTAGGAAGCATGATATTTTGATATTTGCTGTTACGGTTCAGATATGTTGATGCAGGCAGGAGTTTTAGTTGGACAAAAACACTATGCAAGAATCTTTAAAGCGCAACTGAAATCCTATTTAGTCATAAGTTTTTAGTCAAAAATATTGTAAGTGTGGTTTTGAATACACTGATATTAGTTTTAGCATCGTCAAAAGAAAAAACAGCATCTAACTGGAGTGACATTTACATGGTGGTTCATGTTCGAGGACAGCCGCTCAGCTATGTTGCCTTCAAATGTTGCCAGTGAATGTTTGTCTGGCAGCTTTTCATCAGGCTAAGGTGCAGGCAAGAAGTGTGCACATGTTTGGAAGTTAAGTGAGAAAAAAGGGACTTCAGCGGGAAAGCTAACGTTGGTTGGTGTTCAGAGTCTCTGTGGCTCTCGCGTTGTGCAGCAGGCTGCTGTCTGGCTCAGTGGGACTGTCTGCGTAGAACAGAAAGCTGATAATTGTAGTCCATTCATTTAAATCTAAACTACGGGCTACCAGCGTTAGACCAAAACAATGTAAAATATAAATTTCTCCCTCCTGGTTTCTGATTCTGTTTTGAATTGAGAACACAGAGGAAAAATAAGCAATATGTACAAATGACAAACAAAAGCAAAAAAGAAAAACAAGTGTAGAGACTCTGTAAAGAATCTCTGTTGACTTTTTTTTTTTAAAGTCCAGTTCTTGTTTGTTTGTTTGTTTGTTTGTTTTTTACTTTAACCAATCCAAGAATTAAGTCTGAAATTTATAATTTAATATTGATTCCAGCTCTTGTTGGGTCACACTGGTGGTTACTGATGACAGATTTTAACAAAAGAGCTCCCGAAATTTCATTCATCGGGACAAACTTATCGACCGCTCGGGGCGTCAGACGGGGTGGCCTTCAGCAGTTATTCTGTCAGAATTGCAACAGCTGCATCTGTTCACAGCACAGAACAAACGACACTTTGTACAAAGAAGACTGAAGAAGTCGACAACGGTCTCTGATAGGGCAATACTGAAGAAATAACAGGTTGTCTTGTGCTGTAGGAGAAAATGCATGCACACACTCGGTCTGTTCTTCTGGTGCTGCCATATATAACCCCAGTCCAAATGCAACTTGAATCCCATTTGGCAAACACAAACACCGCAAGTAACAAAGATACATACAGTATAGAGAGAAGTTAGAAAACGCTGAATGGCTACCACTGAAAAAGAAGGGTTCAGTGTAACAAACAACTTTAAAGAGGTCAAAGCTAATAACGTTTGCTCCCAGCTGATGATTTCTATCTAATCCTGATGATCAGTTGATCCACATCAAACAACACACACATGGCACCACAACATGCCTACAGGAGAAAGGAAGTATTGATCTTAAAAGGGTGGAGCCTCATTGCGCCACCTTCGCTGGACTCCCTGGAGGGAAAAGACACGCCTTTTACTGGGGTCGCACTGGGGTTCCTCCCAGCAGGAGGATATATACCTTCTCGGGGGCTTTTGATCTCTCTGGCACTGTTCCTCAGAGCTATAGACCCTGTGTTTGTGTTTCTGCAACACACACAAACTCATTGATACAAAGAGCTTCTCAGAAACACACAAACCCTTTTTATAGCTGCAAACTTTTCTTCCCCCCTCCCCCCCTTTTTTTTTCCCACCCTTGTGTTGTAGTTTCTTTCACGACTGAACCAAAAGCCGCAGTAACCTGAGTTTGGCTCAGAGTAAAAATATACAATTCATCAAAAAAATTTACGAGCGCATGTTCATTACACCGTGAAGCTCATTTCATATCGAGGCGGCAGAGGTGGACATCTGCAGAAAAGAGGTGTAGGGGGGCAAAAGCTTCTATTCTCTCCTGCTGAAATACAATTATCTCTTCATCCACCCTGCTTGGCAACAAAATTGAGGCTGGAATACATCCCGCTGGAGATGATATATCTTAACCTGGCAAAAGTACACCTCGTTAACAATTCTCCATTTATCTCCCAGAGCAAGGACAGACCAGAAAAGGACAATGGAGAAATAAAAAAAAAAAAGAGTCAAGGAGTGAGCTTTGACTAATGCAAGGAGTAAAAAAAAAAAAGAAGAAAGAGAATTCAATTCCATCTTGTTTCCCCATAGGGTTCCTCATATTACTCATACAGGAGAGAAGACAAGAAGTAGGAAGGAAATGAAAAAGTACAGTAGAGGAAAGGAAAGGTGAGGAGAGGGAAGGAAAGGAAAGGTGAGGAGAGGGAAGGAAAGGAAAGGAAAGGAAAGGAAAGGAAAGGAAAGGAAAGGAAAGGAAAGGAAAGGAAAGGAAAGATGTGCAGAAGATGTGAGGATCTGAGAAACGAAGAGGAACACATCAAGAAGATGTGACAAAACAAAGACAAAGAAAGACAGGAACCTGCAGAGATGCGCCGCAACACGACAACCAAGATACACACAAGGAAAATGAAGACAGAGCAAAGAATAAACAGAGAACGAGCACAGCGCATGAGTGGGACAAAGAGAAGAAGGCTGATATGAGACACCGATATATATATAAGAATCTATAATATCGAACACAGCCTATGGCACAGGCCCAGGGCTATACGGCAAGCGAGGGTGCCTGAAGAAGGGAGATGATGTCTTTGATGAGTAAAAGCAGGTTAGGAGCAAAAGGACCTGACACGAGGTGAGGAGAGATTACAGATGAAAGGGAAAGAGGGTGAGAGGATTTAAGTGGATTTTTGTTTTTTGATAGGAGGTGAGAAAGCAAGCGGTAAGCCAGAAAACAGCAGTGGAAGAGTCCAATCTAATCCGCGTGCTCTTGTCCGGCCCTGTTCTGCCTGAGCTCTGCTTTGCGGGGGCATCTTTGAACCTTGATCTTATCTCGGCGTTCCTCCTTCACTGATCCTCTCTACCTGTACGTCCTGTTGTGATGGACCATGTGTAACAGCTCTCCTCTGCTGTTGCCTGGCACCACACCAGCTTTCATCAGCTATCCCT